ACGTGTAAATATAAATATGTTGCTGTGTATATGTGTATATACGTATGTATTTTGGGGCATAGAAATAGTAGGTCCTTGCTAGATTAAATATTCGTTATTTTATATGTTTATATTAAATTTGTAACCTGTAGTTGATATTACTTTTGTCAAAATTTCTTCATTGCTCTTTTATAAATGCCCTTCGGTTTTAGTTGGCCCCTCCATCAAAATTTTTTTTTTTTTCCTTTTTTTTCTCTCTCTCTCTCTCTCTCTCTCTCTCTCTCTCTCTCATCTTCTGATTTTTATGTTTCGATTATATCGTCTTTTATTGTGCGTAGTGTCACCACAAATGTATACAACCATTTTCGGTGTCAGTTTTTAATTTAATTTAGGTCAGCAATTCAGTAATGAATTATGCATCGGAAAATAAGTCATATTTATCTGTATCTCACTCATTTAAACCGTCTTTTAACATCTCTTTAAAACTTCTCTCTGTTAAATTTTAATCCCTACCTTCACTTTTAGGCCTTCCTGTTCTTCTCGCGTCTGTTACCCCTCTCTAAAGCTTTCATTTACCTCTCACATTCGTCCCCCACTCTCATACATACACTCTCACTAAATTTTATTTTTTATTCCAGGAGTTATTTTTTCTGATCTCTTTTTGAATTTGTAGGTCTGATTAATTGGATCGTAATTACGATTCCAATGTAATAAATTATAACCATAGAATATTAGGGTTTAAGCCTTTTTATTTTATATATATATATATATATATATATATATATATATATATATATATATATATATGTGTGTGTGTGTGTGTGTGTGTGTGTGTGTGTGTGTGTGTGTGTGTGTCTGTGTTTTGTGTGTGTGTGTTAATAAATACACATATACTTACGTTTAATGTGCGACTTGAGTTTTGTTGGTTACCCAAGTCATCAGGCACAAGATATTGTTTATAAACAATAAGCTATATCTCGTGCCCAATGACTTGGGTAACCAACAAAACTCGAGTTGCACATCAAACATGGAAATATATGTGTATTTATCAACATATATTTCTAAGCTCTGTCTAATCACAGTGAGCACTACTATGTCTACACCTCTTGTCTAAATTTAGTAATTATTTATTTGCTTACCAGCATATCCACAGCAGCACATACATATACAGTTGTTAATATCTAGTTATCTCATTTTTAACCCTATACCTAATATATATATATATATATATATATATATATATATATATATATATATATATATATATATATATGCATATCAATCCAACTAAATATGTTAGCTCTATCACTGGTATGGATGCTTTCCAATAAGTACCATGCATATATAATATATAAATAATATATATAATTGAATATATATATATATATATATATATATATATATATATATATATATATATATATACATACACATTTTACACACACACACACACACACACACACACACATCCAGGGAGAGCTCTATGTTAAAAAACAGAGCAAAATTACTATTAATTAAAGAATATAAAATATTAGGGGGCGTATGTCATTCTCTGCCTTTTCCCCCACTCTCTAAAGAAGATAGCAATATCTCTTGTTTTTAACCTGGAATATTTTTTACATTTTATTCATGATTTGCTTGTAGTTCTTGAAGATTGAGAGCTGCTGTTTTTTAGAGCTCTCATGAAATAAAAATTATTACCTATGGGATTTTAAGTGTTTGAGATTCTTTACTTAATAATTCAGGTAAATAATGGTTGCTACAGATTCTTAGTGCTCTTAAATAGAATCCTATAATTATTCCAGATATTATCCTGTTATAGTGGTGAGAATAAAAATTGATATGGTCATTCTTGTTGGTAGATTTTCTGTAAACCTACATATATACATTTTTGGTTGCTGACTCCTAGAAGAAGCTCATCCATTCTATGTAACTTTTATTAGAATTAATAAAACCACTTCAAATGAGACAGATTGCTTCATCGTGTATTTGGGTAATGAATCAATTTCCTGTCCAATAGTATAACCAGAAAACTGTTGTACAGCATTCTATGGAATATATTCTTTTAAATTAACATTTGCAATTTGCAGGTGATTTGAAGATCTGTCAGCATAATTATTATCACTCTGATCACAAGGTGTGTTGATAGGTTCACTGTGTAACTGAGTAACTTATTAGTTCTCTCTACATAACTGGGTTAAAAGGGGGATTCATCCATGTGTAGTTTGTCTTAAGCAAATAGACCTGACTTCACCCATCCCTCTCCAGGTAATGTTCTCTAACTTGAAGTCTCACCTTGTTCATGAACATGTCTGTTGATTCTATTGTGGGAACCCTCCACTATGTCCATTGATTTTAGTCTTGGAAGCTCTCTTCCCAGTGATGCCATATAATCACTTCACTGGCTGCATAGATAGTTATGAAATCCAGCTTACCTCATTGTGCTAAATGGCTATTGATTTTACAAGAAGGTTCGTCTGCGATTTGGTAGGTTTTGTTTTTAATCCTGCTGGTTGTCTAGCCAGCCTGTTCACCAGAAAAGCCTGGTGGGGGAACCAATTTAATTGACAGTTTTAGTAACCATTGACCTGACACTATGGCAGGTATACTTGGTTATATGGTATCAGCATCACTTGTAGAGTTACATGACAAATTTACTTCATTTTTTATAGATGAATTAAGTTAAACAATCTCTATCATTTTTAACTTAAGAGATTGTATCCAATTATTTCACAAATTTAGAAACTGAATCTTGAAATCCATAAAATATTGTTTTTCCTTTTCTTAAAGAAATATCTAAACTATGAGGTTTATTAATTTTACAGATAAAATAAGTTAGCATAAAAATTAAAACTGAAAATCATGAATTTGTCTACTGGAAATATTTTGTACAAAAGTACTTATATTTTATAAAACTTTGTTTTTTGTTAATCAAATAAAGATGGATAACAATTCATTATTTCTTAAATATGAATAACTTGTCAGCACCAACTTGTAATTGGATTTTCAAATACAAACTGAAGATTCCTAGAAAAGGTTTTTGAAGACAGTACAAACAAATATAAATTTTTTATCCCTATTTATCTGTTACATATTGTGTGGTTATTAGTAATGCAGTCAGAAAAGCAATTCAGAAGGAGTTTGGATTTTATTACATACTCCAAAATATATGACCTTCTACCACAAAGAAGAAGTCTAGAATCATTGACTGACTGAATCCAAGAAAAGCTCAAAATTTTAAATGCTGATTTTTGAGACAGGCCTACATAATCATCCCCTTTTTTAACAGTACATTTTTACATGCCTAAAATCTGAGATATTTACAGGGTATAAATATAGACGTGTCTGCTTGATAGCTTAATTTGTTGATAGAGTGAGTCCAACAAAATGCCATGACTTCAAATTCTCTTTTTATTCACAAGATTAGGAGTATAGGATCTTCACAAAAATCAGCAGATAGTAAATTTGTATTCTTGAAAAATTTGCTAAAAACTAATTAAAGTATTTATCTGTTTGTCTTTCTATATGTTTACTTTTGTTTCTATTAATCTAGTTCATTCTGGAGTATTTTTTAAGTGGATGTATAGAATTTAACAAAAAAGAAGAGAAAAAATAAAATTTTAGTAGCAATCAGGGAGAAATAATTGGTGTGTTTTATACCTGAGGACAAATATCAGAAAATGTATTGCTTTCCCTGGAAGTAGAGGGTCATGTAGAAGGAAGGACCCAAATGGTAAATAGCATGGGATCTTGATAAAGATTTCTTGAAGAGAGAAAGAACATGAGAGAAGTAGGATTAGGAGGAAAATATTGTTATGGAAAATCGAAGCAGGCTATTGTTCAAGTTGTTTGTCTTCTGCATCAAGAATGCTTCACACCAAGACATTCATTCTCAAATGTTAGCAGGTGCTAAATAGAGACAATGGTTTCTGAATGCTGATTCCTGATTGGTCAGTTGATGGTCAATTCTATTGTAAGAATGGACAGGTTTCATATACCTGTATGTGTACATATAGTGTATGTACAGTTGTTCCAATATGTATATACATCATTGTAACTATATCAGATTTTATCATGCAAGTCAATGTTTTCACAAAAACATTGATCGTAACCAACCAATGCTGGTAAAATTCTGAGGATATATTTATCTGAGAAATATATGAGTTTCAGATTATAATATCTATTCTTATTAAAAATATTATTAATAACTTGTTTTAGAGCATGTCAGGTTTTATTATGCAAACAAACTCAGTGTAGCATAAATTTTATTTATAAATAAATTGAAAAGATACAGGCCACTGAAACTAACATCTGACAACACAATAACAATAAACATAAATAAATTATTTTATTACATTATGTTAATATGGGCTCCTTGACATTCTATAACTTTCATCAGTCTTTCACCTACTGATTTTGTTAACTTTTTTACTGTTTTAACTTTAAGATTACTTGTAATAGAGTTTACTTTCCAGATATCTTCTTTACTTGACTATTGTTTTATATTCTCAGATATATATATATGGTGTCATTCTTTGTGTCTTTGCTATGCTATTTTGAAACTTTTTAGAAATGTAAACAATAGTACGTTTTACAAAATATGAAGGAGCATTGTTTTACATAAATATAACCCTTGCTTAAAGCTTCTTAGCTGTGACTTCTACCATTTCAAAAATGTCTGGTTCAAGAACTATATGTATTTAATTTGATATGGACATCAACTTTGGCAGAATGTATAATTTAACTACCTACAATATTAGTCTAAAACATTATGCCACTTTCCCAAAAGTGTCTTCAAAGTCATGTTGGTTGTTCCATATATATATATATATATATATATATATATACCATTTCTGTCCAATGTAGAACTAATTTGATCACTTAAAATTACAATTGACAAATTATTTTTCATTTTTCTTCTTCAACTATCTTATACATTTCTCTTTGTTATCTTTACTTAAAGGTGGTAGTTTGGTCACTGTCATGTCTTTAGACAATGCTATTAATATTTTGCTAACATGTTGAAACACCCATTCTCATTTGATCACCAAAGTTAAACATCATTGATCCTTGTCTGTATCTAGATGGGTGACCACCTGGGAATATCAGGTGCTGTAAGCTTGAATGTGTTGCTAGTGTAATAGATAATTGTTAATTGGAGAGTTGAATTTCAATTCCAGTTGAGTTCATTATATTCAATTATGTGCAAATACTCTTGAGAAAGCTATAAATCCCCCACTTCTCCGCCCACAAGCTATCTTACAAAATACACATATACCTACATTTGATGTGCGACTTGATTTTGTGACTTGTATCAGTAAATCATTATTATCTCCCAATTATTACACCATTATTATCTTCACAGTGTCAAATTTTCTAAGCACTCTTTCCTCATTATGTACTTTATACCTTTCAACTGTGTCTTTCTGTTACTAAGCATAAGTGTTTTTTGTTTCCATTTTCTCTAAAATGTTGTCATTGTTCAAATGTTCAGTCCATGATATTCTCAGCATCCTTCTGTAGAACCACATTTTTTTACCTCTTCATTTGTTAGGTGATTGTTCAGCATTTACTGCCATATAGGAAGACTGACATTATATAACAGTTCAGTATTCTTTTCTTTGTTTCTAATGAATACTTCTTAATAATTTGCATAGCTTCTGGATAGCATCTTTCACTACTACAATGTGCCTTTGGATTTCAGTGTCGTGTTTTCCGTCCTTTGTTAAAACACTTCCTAAATATTTAAATTTTTGTAATTGTTTGATTTGGGTATTTCCAATTTATAATCTGCATGTTGGATTGTTCCTTTTGTTGACAGCCATACATTCTCTCTTCTTACAATTGATGTTTAGTCCTTTCTTCTCACTTGCCTTTACTACCTTTTACACATGCCTGGTTGGAAAGTGGACCTCATCCCAGTGAACATTTAACAAAAACTGCAGTAGGTTAACAAAGATCTTTATGTTTCATTAGGCATAAGAAAGAAGAAATGTTTTATGCCTATTACATGAGGAATGTTGTTGTTGTTGTTTCTTTCCATTTGAGTTGTGGTTAGGGTAGTTGTGAATAAAAATGGAGGCAAATAAATAACAAGCTCTGTTGTACTAAACAAACAAGGAATTTAATAAATGTAATTATGTATATTGTGTTTTGTGCTGAAGTTAGTAATACATGTATTTTTTTGTAATGAATAAGTTAATGTAGTTCACATTTAAAAAGAATATTGAAGAAACATTGTGAAGGCAAAATGTCTTTCTCTCTGACTGTTTCTCAAGCATGGGCATTGAATGTGTGCTCTGTCTGACAAGTGTATTGAGTTTGGTTCTCTAATTCCAAAGCTTGTTGCTTTTAAATACTGTCAGAGTGGATTCAAAAATGGAATTTTGCTTTTGAGTGGGAACTCATCTGATTGGTTGATTAAGATTTATTTTATTTGAAGAAAAAAGTGGATGCATGGAGATGAATTCAGAGATGCATTTTGTCATTTGAAACTTCCATCACTGAGCTGTTAACTTCAGACTACAGTAGATTGTAAGAGGTATGATACCTTCTGTTAAAGTCCTTGTAATTTCCTTTCTATATCTATCAACATTGTGTCATCTGCTTATCTAATGTTGTTAAGATTATTGCTGCCAACAATGAATGGACTTATAATTTTCAATGTAGGACTTATAATTTTCTCAGGATTGCTTCACTGTAAAGTTTGGATAAGTTTGGAGAAAAGACACAGTGAGCGAAATAAAGGGTTCAGTTCGACATTCCAACGACCTGGAGAAAGCCGGAGCGTACAACGGCCGAAACGTTGTAATAAATATGGTGACAAAGATGATGACAAAAGTCCGAATAATGTAAATCGTGTACATAATACCTCATCTCAGAAATATAGACAGATACTGAAAACACATCCTTGCAGTGGGGGACCAAAGGTGTGCTCTGAGCCCTGGGCGGAATTTTGTGGGTGAAAAAATTTGAAGACGCAATCATTCATTTTTATGTTATGGTGTTTCAGAAAAGAAATATAATATTTTTTTTTTTTTTTTTCTTCACATTCATTCCTTTTTGTTTGGACGATCACAAACACATGACATGTTGGCGACTTTTAATAAGCTCAGTCAACTGTCTGACATGCCATTACTTTGACCTGGCCCTGCTGTGAGCGACCTCTTGCTGAGACTACAAGACCACACTGGGACATTCCAAGAGAAATCCCCACTATACTGTATATTTTGTACAACCAATATATATATTTGCCGCCTCCCATGTTTTGAAGTGTGATAATCGACCTACACAATTTTTGGATCGTTTTTAAATTATTTTTTAATAAAATTAAAATATCTGAAGATATTTATTTTTCAATCATTTCAAAATCAATTGTGAACATGTTGAAATTTTAATGAAATTTTTTGGTATTTTATTTATTAATTAATTAATTTTATAATGAATAGATTCTTTGATTTAAAAAAAACCTTAAGAAAATATTTTTTACCACTGGAGGGTTTTAACATTTGATCATTTGAATAAAATATTCCAATCGCTAATTTATACATTTCTAGAAAGATCAAAAACAAGAAGACCACATATAAAAACGAATGAAATTTTTACGATGTAAACACCCTGAAAAAGTTATTTAAAAATTTTAATTTTGTTTTTTAAAAACTCAAAAAAAGAATTTTTATGCCGCGTTTGTTTCTAGTGGAGTTTTAAAAACAATGTTTTTTTTTTTTCTTTGGGTTGATCCAAAAACAAATTTCCTCTGATGCAATTTATTTTATTCACTTAAAATTTTTACGGAAACTCTTCTCTGCCTAAGATGAAATATTTGTAATTAAATAAAGATTTATTTAATCTATCTAAAAATGTATGATTACAAAAAACTTCCCAATGTAGGATAGCATATTTTCTGAGATTTTATTTTAAAAAATTACGAACGATTTTTGATTCAAACTAAAGTTGCTTGAAGAAATAAGTAAGGAAAGTCATCTTCTTTGAAGTATTAAGATTTTTAAGATTATAATTATGGAGAAATAAAATTGGTCTCTTTTTTTAATTTGCGCTCTTTCCCAAACTTTTGGGTGGAAAATTAAAATGATTAAAAATAAAATATTGCATTTTCATTTTTTCAAATGTTTTTGTTAGATTATAATTTATATTTTTCTTTTATTGTTCATGAAATTTGAAAGTATTTTTACAATTATTACATTATCTTACTTATTATAAAACGCAGATTATGTGTGTGTGTGTCTGTACGTTTATATATTGGATCGGATTTCCTACATTTTTCAACCGATTTCAACAAAACTTCACAGGACTACGTAAAATTACCTTGCGGTGGTTCTTGGAAAAACACAATTGTTTGTGCACGAAATCAATTTGAAAACACGATTAAGAGGCATTAATGAAAGGGGGACAACTCATATCGAGTTATACTTATTAATATCGAGTTATACTTATTATAAAACCCAGGTTGGTTGGTTGGTTGTGTTTTGTGTGTGTGTGTGTGTGTGTGTGTGTGTGTTCATTTATATATGGGATCGGATTTCCTACATTTTTTTTCAACCAATTTCAACAAACTAATTTTTTTTTTTTTTTTGGCAGGTTGTGTTTCTTATTGTCTTGCACTTTTTTTCTTTTATTTTTACATTCAGAATGCTTTAAAAATTCCATTTACAAGACAATTGTTTATAATAAAATTCTATTCAATCGGTAGACTCATAACGATTGAAAACAATGTTTTTGTTTTTTGTTTGTGTTTGACCAAAAAAAAAAAAAAAAAAAAAAACTAATTAAGACATGCGTGTCCGTCAACCTTAAACAATAATCTTTGTCAATTTTATTTTTCAGTCTTTATGATGGTTGATACTTGATCTATCTCTTACTGTTACATCCCCGGGCAACGCCGGGCTCTACTGCTAGTTATTAATATGTTTAATTAATAATTTGATTAATTGAAATTTCCGTTATTTTTTTTTTTCACGGGATATTGATTAGATTTAAGAGCAAAATCATTGAATCAAAATAAGGATTATAGTTGATTTTGATAGTAAATGATAAGGCACATGGGTTTTAAGAAATATTTGGGTTTTATTGTTCTATCATCCCAATGATGTTTTAGGTTAACCATGATATATTTTATGAGCCTGTGGTGGTGCCAATCCTGCAACAGACCACCATATACACTCAGAGTACCTACACACAGCATTGGACTGATCAATTATCCTTGGTAAAACCTGTTAGTTAACTTCAAAACGTAAGTTTAATTCTTTTTTATTTTATTTTATTGAAACATTTTAGAATAAAACAGCCTTCATTTTAATTAAAAAATTAGGAATTCAGATGGTAAACAGGTTTATTTTCCCGAAAAAAAGCAGATCAAAAGAGCGTACGAGGCTGACACCTGCTGCTAATTTGAAGGCGGCATTCTCTAAAAAGCTGAAAAATTCAGGAGTGCGTATCTTGAAGATAACCACTTATTTGCTTTTTTTATAGGGAAATGTTGATATTATAGTGGGTCAGCCAATTTTTATTGGTTATAAATAGAAATAAAAACTGACCCTCTACAATTTTTACAATATCAAATGTAACAAAGACAACAACAAGAGAAATAATCAAGTAGAAGAAAATGTGAATTTGTTCAACAATAAATATTTTTTTATAAACACAACAAATACATAATATATAGTGCAAAGGACGAAGTGTGTGTGTGAATATTCTGTATGTGCGTGCATATATGAATATTCTGTATGTGCGTGCGTGTGTGAATATTCTGTATGTGCGTGCGTGTGTGAATATTGTGCTTAGCGTGTTTAATATTGTGCTTAGCGTGTTTCCACGCTATCCCTTGTTAGCACCTACATTTCGAGGTTGATAGCTGAAATCCTGAAGGAAAAAGAGATTTTACCTCAAGGTGTCAGTGCACAGGCCTGGAGGAAAAAAAGAGATAGAGGCAAAGAGTCAGCGGCTATTTATAGCCAGGGAAGAGAGACCCCTGGTGAAAGGGTTAACGGAGTGAAGGAGGAGTTAACTCCGACAATATAAAACATTGAATCAGTTGAAGAATCCCCACAGACTGGCTGTAAAATCTCTGCCCGAACTTAACTGTAGAATCTCCTTCCAGAC